ACCTAGCTCTAATTATGAATTATTTATAGAGGATTAACCTATATGTAGTGATTATATCAAATGGACACTTCAAGTTCTTAGAAGTAAATTATGTCAATAATTTCGAGAATGCAATTCTAAGTTCTTAGTGGAGTAACTTATGGAATTAATAGAATTAATTAATTAATTAATTAATTAATTATTAATATTATTAGAGCTCAGAATTATAGGTCCATGAATCCCCCCGTCATTCTTGTAATATTTGCGAGACAAAGTCAAATATTGGGATTTACTATTACTCAAAATAAATAATGTGATTATTTAATTAAATTAATTTTAAAACACACTATGGTGAGACCATAGGAGGCCACAAGGCCAGGCAGAGGGAAGTGCAATGGGCATGTGGCACAGGGAGAATCCCATTAGGATTTAGTTGCTTACTCTTCAAGATATCCGGTTTACTTGTTTGACAAGTTTTACGGTTAAATTCAAAAGGAAAGTGAAGTTTGACTTTATTTAGATTTGAATTTGAGCTAAAATTGAAAACTGGATAAAGGAGGAATTTTTTCTTCTTTCTCCTTCCTGAAATTTGCGCCAACCACAGGGAGAACTCCTTGTGGTATGGCCGGCGATTTAGTAAAGGGAAGGGAGAGGTTTTGTTTCTAAAATTAAATGGGAAACTGTATTTTAAATGAGATTTAAAATTATTAATTTTCTATTGCTTTGTGTTCAAGTTAAAACAAATAGGTCCTCCAAGTGTTCTATAAATAGGAGACAATAGAAAATTGTAAAACATATTTTTTGATATAAAAAATCCTATAATTGCCGAAATTCCTAGAGAAAGAAAAGAGAAGAACAGTTCTTCCAACTCTTAGTTCATCCACATACATGCGTTGATAATGGAGTAATACAAATTAGCGAGTGATCATAATCCGATAATTCTATAGTAGAGGTCACACTCTAGGTCTTGAAACTAGAGAGGAAGATTCGGATTTTCTGAGAAAGCTTGGAGCTTAGACTGTTCGAGGTCAAAGAAATCAAGTTATCCTCCTAATCGTCCGCTAGGTATATTTCATTATAAATTAATATGATTAATTTATTATTGTTTAAATTAATCTATTCAATAGAGGATTCAAAAGTTTTATGAAAATTTTTGTTATACACGATCCACACATACACACTATCAGGAAAAAATTGCTATCTAAATTTCCCACCAGTTTTTGAAATTTAAATTGACGAATTTTCCAAACATTACATTTTATTATGTCAATCGTAATTCTTAATCTATTATCTGATTAATCCTAACCTCTATATTCTAAAAGGACTATCTTCCTAAAACATACAAGTGTGTCATAGACTTTTATTTTCAACATATGTTGATAATAACTTATCAAGATCTACCTTAATTAAATTGATTATCTAAAAGTCAACTTAATTCAAACATTGGACTCTAGAATTTCTTTCTAGTCACATTATGGAATAAATTAAATCTTTTGTGATTATGGATTGCCTTATAGGCAAATGTGGAGGCTATAGACTCTATTAGTGCTTGCTGTATTATTTCATGAACTGTGTATAATTATATTACATGCAAAGCACTACATGTATACATATAGGATTATTGTGAAATCTTAGATGTCTAATAATCCACATGGCTTAGAAATTTCCATCATACCTTATGACTTGAGAATTAAGATCCTTGATTTAGTCGTGAATAGTATAATCATCAAAATGTTCAGATCGCGACATTGAACTATTGACTACCATTGATATAAATTCTACTTATTAAATCGACAGTATTAATGTCAATTAATGGTCAAATAATTTAGTTATTTATTTTTAACATAATTTTCAGTTCAGATCTCGAACCGAGATATTCGTAAAGGTCATCATCTGACCTACACAAAATCACCGAAGCACTTACCTCAGCTTTAGCACATTGAATAGTTAAATTTAATTAATCATGTGTGCTACAAAATACGTAGTATCACGTCATTCTACACATGCAACTTAAGAAATTTGGGTCATTGTACATATATGAAACTAGTTATTATTTCTCCTGAAAAACATGGATAATCTTGACAAATATCTATTAAAAGTGCATAAATTAAAATTTTTACCATTTACTCTTGATTCATAACATTTTTAATTAAGTAATTACACTAACAAAATGGTATTTATCAAGAGTAAGAGCTAAAGGTCTAAACTCATGCACTCTCAAGGATAAATTCTCCATTTTTCCGTAAAACATTTAAGCTCAACGCACTTTTAAAGTGTACCTTAATTGTAAAAGTTCATTGTTGTAAATTGTGATTAAATTACAATTTGGACTTTGCAAAGTTTTCGGGTCTTACACTAGGGTTTTAGTGGAATAACACTAGAGCTTATAATTATAAGATGAACTTACCGGTGAACATGTTCTATCATGATTATAAGAGCTTAAACTATATATGTCTATCGGGAGTCTTTCCTAGATCATATATTTTCTTGATACGATATGACGTAATTCTTACATATTGGTAACTTATATTGTTTCTGAAATTAGATATAAAATATGAATTAATTCATGAGTAATTTATCAATTGAATTAATTGTTTAAATTAATTCAATATAAATTGGTTGAATTAATAAAGTGTTTCAATTGATAAATTTTTGCAATTTTGAATCTGAATTTTATTTGGGTTGCGGAAACAAGCCTTTCTATATATATATATATAAATAGCTCATTAAGTCTTACTAATACTTAAATCACTTGAGACATTTGAGAGATTATAAGTAAAATTTTCCTATAAAATTGATTAAACATCAAGATCAATTTTTTCTTTGACTCTCTTGTGGTTGAAAAGAAAGGAGATACCAAGTGGACATTGAAGGAACTTCGCCCACTTGCATTCCATTTGTGAAAAAGAGAATAGCAAAGAAGTTCATTTGGTTGAGAGTCTTCAGGTTGTTGTTCACGATTTTACAGTTCTACAGTTCTGTCAGAAGTACTAATTTTCTAGAGGAATGATTTAGTTTTTATTATTTATAATATATAACATCATGAACAGTTACAATTATTTATTTTTTAAGAAATTTTAAAACTTCGCAACATAACGTTTTACTGTAATTTCTAGCATAGAAGCCAGAAAAACCCCTGCGGCTAGGCGACACAAAGAGGCAGAATCACTAAACTGCAGTACTCGTCCACGGCGGATCGTTGCTGCGGAGGAAATCCTAGCCCCCAAATTCCATGGCCCAATTCAAGGTTGAGAGTGGAATCGGCGGAGAAGGAGGTTGTGGCTTTGGAAGATAACGAAGCTGAGGGTTTCCAAGAAATAGGTCTGGATGTCTCCTTTGGGGAAAACAACTTGGAATCCAAAGGATGGGACTGGGTTTTTGTTTTTTGTTTTTTGTTTTTTTGGGTTGCTTTTTAATCTTCTATTCATTTTGATGCAAAAAAATGACAACCAATATCCCTAAAAAGAGGTCATGTGCAAATCACATGCCAAAATTCATTTATAATTTAAAAAACATTATTAAAAGGTCCTTCCAAATTGAAGGAATTAATTTTCATAAAAAAATAATTAGGACCAATTGTCAAATTCAAAAAGCTGAGGAGATCCGTATAAAAAAAAAGAGCCATTAATAAATAAATAATTTATAGTTAATGAGAAGTGATTAACCGCCAAATAAAGGTTAAATGGTTATAATTAAATTGTCCTCTCAGATTTATTAGTTGATAATTAATTGGAAATGATTCAGTTAATTATTGATTGAGGAAGATCAAGAACTAATTAGATAAACTAATTAGAATGGGGTCGAGTGCACCAAAATTAATTTATAAGTTTAGTCCAAATTAACTAAAAGTTGTTGATCAACAGATCAGCATAAAACAGTACTTTAACGGTTGGTAAGGGTGTTAAAAAAATAGACAAATCGTGAAACTGCCGATCGAAATTAAACCAAACTAAATTATTAAATAATTTTAGATTATTGGTCAGTTTAGAAATTTTTCACATTAATTTTGTGGGATGATATTTTCATTGGTTATAAAAGATGGTTCAAAGTTAGTAAAATGTTTCTACCACACTTAGGCCTCGTTCACTTCACAGATTCGAGTTTTCAATTTGAGCTGAGATGTGACATTTTCTGATAGCTTTTCACTGTAGCAGAAAAAGTTAGATGTGACATTTTCTGAGAGCTTTTTACTGTAAAAATTTAAAACTGAAAACTCGAATCGGTGAAATGAACGAATGCTTAATATTTACAGTTCATAATTAAATACCAGCCTCTTCCCATTCTCTTTTCTCTCTCATTCTCATTAAAATGCTTTTAGCCCAAAACCTAAATTGCCTAATCTGCTTATAAGTAATTTGGTTTAATTTGATTTTTGTTAAAAATAAAAAACTGCCCCAAAAACTATATTTTTTGTTAGTTTACCAATCCATCCCAAAAGCTTAAGCTATTAGGAGGTGGACCAACAATAATTTTATACTTTAACACTCTCCCTCACGCGTGGACTGGACAATGGGCAATCATATGGGTAAATTAATTAGAAAGCCCAAGACGTGAATATTTAAACCCGAGATATATAAAGACCCAACACGTGATGACAATTTTAAATGGGGATAAAGAGTGCAATTACGGGGGGTTTAAACTCAGGACCTCCCGCTCTGATACCATGTTAGTTTACCAATCCATCCCAAAAGCTTAAGCTATTAGGAGGTGGGCCAACAATAGTTTTATACTTTAACATTTTTTGTTTTGTAGGTAGTTTAAAAAAAAAAAAAAAAAAAAAAAAAAACCCAAACCGCCTGAGAACTCCCTTACTGTCGGGTAATTCAATCAACAGACAAGTCCTACGATAATTACAAGCGAAAGATAGTTTTAGAAAAAATGTTGATAACAGAATCCAAAGAAATACAAAACTCACACTACGAAACTTTGTTTTCAACTATGTATGAACATGCATGCGACTAATTTCATGTTGCATATGAAATATTTGTCATGCATATGTCTAAACTATTTTTGCTCTGTCTTTGTTATATGAAATACCAATAGTCGTATTAGTCATGATTAAATTACATAAACTTAATGAAAGTGGAACGCAATTAAATGCCGTTCCAAAATGAGGAGGATTTTTTTTTTTTTTTTGCTGCAAACTTTGCACACTTGTATGTTATGGTCACATAAAGACCTTTATTTAAAGATGAGAACAGTTTTAATTTAATCCTAAGGATCTTAAATCATATTTTAATGCGTAACAATCGGTGGGATACTTTGTTCATATGTAAAGAAGTTAGTTGGATCCACTATAGTCTTTACACGAATCAACTTGTTGAAATTATTCTTGAAATACTTCCTTCCCCAAATCCTTGCTTTTGCAATATTATCAAGGGTACTTGTGGGGCCATCCTCGTTTTCATTCATCCCAATGTCAAGATCTCTAAAGTTGAGATATGTTGCCCTCGGATTTTTTGACACATAAGGAGTCATGTAATTGTAAAGTCTTCTTACCCAAGTAATATGCTTTTTGGACGCCGTAAGATTTCCTTCTTCTTGCCAATTCACGAGGTAATGTATCATATAGAGGTTTCCAATTCGGTGGGGAAATGGGATTGTGGATTCTGAAAACTCGTCCATTTTTCCCCCGTAAGGAAATACATCAATCCGAGCTTGTCCTACTTCTTCTTCAAGCAACCTTCTTAACATTCCCTCCAACACGTCATCTGGAATTGGCTTTTTCACATAATCAGATTTTGCTTTGAACGATGATAAATTGAAATAAGAAGTTCTACTAAGTAAAGCATCCAAGGATTCTCCATTTCTGAATGAATTGAAGTAGAGAAAGGATTCAACCCATCTCATTTCAGTGCACTCTTGTCTTAGTAAACCTAACTCAGGAAACTCCTCTTGCATTAATTGAAGGAGCTTATCAATACCACCATGGTAAGTGGCTCGGACAGCAGCTTCAAGGATAATTTTTTTATTCCCTTTTTTATCAATAGAACTGTTACTCTGGAATGTGATGTAGATTGTTAGATCGTCATCGACTTTGTTAGCGCGAAGTTGCCATTGATGAACGAACTTTCTTGTTGCATTGTCTTCCATGTTCCTCCTAACATCAAACACAGTCACTGTTGGTGGCACCGGAACTAATCGAAGTTTCCATGCAAGAACAACTCCAAAGCTTGATGGTCCACCACCACGTATAGCCCAAAACAAATCTTCCCCCATGGATTTCCTATCAAGAACTCTTCCTTTAGCATCTATCACTTTCGCATCAAGAATATTATCAGCTGCGAGGCCATATTTTCGTGTCAAATAGCCATAGCCTCCTCCACCGATCTGTCCACCAACACCCACAGTGTGGCAATCGCCAGCTGGGAAGCCAAGATTTCCAGTTTTCTCTCCAATTCTATAATAAAGTTCACCAAGCGTAGCTCCAGCTTGAACCCATGCATATTTGCTCTCCACCTCTACGCTAATCGAGCTTAGGTTTCTCAAGTCAATTACAACAAACGGAACATTGGACACATATGAAAGGCCCTCATAATCATGGCCACCGCTCCGTGTTCTGATTTGCATGCCATGTTTCTCGGAGCAGTAAACAGTGTTTTGAACATGAGTTGGAGTAAATGGTGTAACGATAACATATGGTTTTGGGGTGAAAGGAGAAGAAAAACGATGGTTTTGTATGGATGAATTTAGTACATTGTAATACGGAGAATTATTTGGAGTGTAGATTATGGGTTGGGGATTGTAGGTAGAAGGAGACAGACGCGTCACAAGACACTGAAGAAAGTCTTCACGAGTGTGTTCCAAATCTGCTAACGAAGTTGAAAAAAGAACGATCAAAATTTTGGCAAATAATGAAGACAATGCAAAGTACTTCATTTTTATTCGTCAGTTTACTTTTGGTATAATATAAGAGAGCAGGGGCAAAGGTTCTTTTATAACCAAGCAATGCTTCACATCTTCACAATTATTAACCAATAGCTAGTTTGGTACCAACCTCTTTGTTACCAGGTCAAATGTTCAAGGGGGCTTGAAGTCTTGTAGACAACAATAGTATTGATTCAATTAAACACATATTTCGTTTTCAAAGATGTCACGATTGCATACCGGTATGGCGTGTAAAATTCGTATTTCATTAAGTTAAGCAATGAGTTGGCTTAGTTGACATTTGGAAAAGAAAAAAAAAATTATATGTCTCTGATATATTAAAAAAATCCCTTTCATCTAAAGCATGCAATTTATGTAAAAAAGAAAAAAATTAATAAAATTAAAAAAAAAAGAAGTTGGACTTAACATAACACTCTGCATTGTGGTTTGAATAAAGAAAATACAGCGAACATGTCATTTTTATATAGTAGTTGTGCGTTGAATATAGTCTAAGAAATCCTTTGATATCACTTTTCAATTTCTTCAATGAACGCCTTTTCACACTTATATACAAGAAAATATAATAATTTTTCTTTTGTTTTGTTTTATAAGTAATCACAGGTCAAAACTTCTCTCACAAAAATTTAGAAAATTTCTACTCAAACTTCATGTTTAAACATATGAACCAAATGACACCTAAATCCTCATTTAACACTTTACTCGCTAAACTTTTCAGAATAACCTCGTCATGTTGCCATCATGAGCCCGTCAGGAATTTAAATATTTTCGGGGATATTTGACTTAAATTTTAATTACTGGATTGAACTCGATGACTAGCTTATCCATTTAGAGTAAGAATAAAAATATACAAATAAAAAGAAAGATTTTGCATATTGCGAGACGGAATTATCAAAACCTGATACATTTAAGAAGAGTAAAAGTGATACAAACCGTAAAAGCGAAAAAAAAAAAAACAAAACAACAACCATCATCGAAGAAACTAATAAAATTGCAATTTTGATGACGTCGTTATTGCATATCGTGTAGGTCACATATAAATGTAATTAAGTCATATTTGATCGAGTTACGCAATCGTGTAAGTTAATCTTATAATACATAAATCGTTAATCTTATAGAACTTAAAGAGCTGACTATACATAAACATGATTCGGTAATCTTATTATACAAATATATATGGACGGAATAGTATCCTAAAAGCATGAGATATAATATGATATTTATTATTTATTTAATAAAAGAGTTTACGACGAATTTATTGTTGGGAATGGTATCCTAAAAGCATGATATGATATTTATTATTTATTTAATAAAAGAGTTTATTCATTATTTTATGTGCATATATTTATGAATATTTTATGAATATCAATGAAAATTCTATGATTATTTATGTGACCTTAAACATTGTATATAAGTGTTATATACGAGAAGATAATTATCAAAATTAATGTTCATAATGAATTTAATTAAAGTTCAGAATTTTTAATTAAAATATTATTAATACATGTCATTCTCATTTAGAATAGAACCATGTTATCCGCACTGTTAATATGGCGAGATATTGAATGAGTATATTTCGCATAATGAGTTTATGTGGAACAGAGACATAGACACAATATGAATTTCTAATAATTTCTGTTAAGTATAGAAATTCTAATTGAGTCTACCGATGGTCATATATAGAATGATTTTAATCCTGAGTTCTTAACAGACTCCTATTTATGGATTTGTGTCTTTTTATTTACTCGGTACG